ATAGCATATAGAGCTTTTTCATCCAATTCTTTCCAAATTTCATCTAACGTGTTTTGCAGTTTCTTCCCTTTCCCAAATAAAGTTTTCTTCAAACCCTGCTACGTAAGAACAGCCAACATACGAACTTGCCATAGGTTGAAACTGCCGCTCCCATCAAACTTCTCAATATCAAATTTCGTTGTTGAACTTGAAGCCATAACCAAAAGATCAAAAAACCGCAAGGCTCTGATACCAAATTGTTATGACTGATGCGGAAACAATAACGAAATTAAAACTGAGAAAAATAAAGAATACCAAAATTTTACGTGGAAAACCCTTGAGAGAAAAACCACAGGGAGAGGAGAAGTAAAATCCACTATAGAATATTGAGGATTACAAAAGGTGGCTCAAAAACTAAAAATTATTTATGTCTCAACTTCTTCACCTAATAACTTGAGAAAAGTAATAGCTATATTGCCTCCAAGCCTTAAAGTTGGCCCAAACCCATAAAAAATTTAAGACATACTCAACATATTTGCACTTCGAGCTTCTCTATACCTAGCGCATCCATGGAATCTTCTCTCAAGATTCAACCGAGTCCAAGATGTTTTTCTTGGACTTGGTAACCCACAATAACAACAACACTCACCATCTAGTTCGCTCTGTTGGAATGAATTTGAGCCACTGCTGAAGCTCCTACTCTTCATTTACAAGATTGAGCTAATAATTTTGGCCCAATTCCCTAAAAAACCCTCAATTTTAGCCTTTGTCCCAATTATATCCCAAACTTTTTTTTGTCTCATAAAAAACCCCAAACTTTTACTTTTGTCCCAAATCTACCCCGATAACTTTTCGTCCAATTTTTTAATATTATTTTTTATTTTTTCGAATTTTTTTTTTTTCGAATTCTTTTCTTTTTCCTTTCTTTTTCTTTTTTTTTTTTGTTTCACCTTCAACCTCTGGCCGGTCGCCGGTCCGCGCGCCGCTCAGCGGGGAAATGCGAGTCGGCCCCGCCGCCAGCAGCGAGGCTCGGCCTCGCCGTTCTTCGGGCGAGGCCGACCTCGCCCGGTTGCCGGCGGGGCCGACCTCGCTAATGCGGGGTGGCCGACCTCTCCGGCCACGGCGAGGCTCGGCCCCGCCAGCTATTGGTGAGGTCGGCCTCGCCCAACTCCGGCGAGGCCGAGCCTCGCAAGCGGCCGGCGTGGCCGAGCGTCGCCCGGCCACGGCGAGGCTCGGCCCCACCGGCTATTGGCGAGGTCGGCTTCGCCCACGCCGGCGAGGCCGAGCGGCGCCAGCGGCCCCTCCGGCAACTGGCAAGGCCGACCTCACCAGTTGCCGGCGGGGCCGAGCCCTCGCCAGACTGTCCTCGCCGTGGCTGGCGAGGCTCGGCCCCGCCGGCTATTGGCGAGATGGACCGACGACCGGCCAGAGGCGGGGGCCGTCGAGGTCAGCCCCGCCGGCCGCTGGCGAGGCTCGACCATCGCCGTTGCTGGGTGAGGCCGACCTCATCAGTTGCCGGCGGGGCCGACCTCGCCAATAGCCGGCGGGGCCGAGCCTCCCAGTGGCTGACGAGGCTAGGCCCTGCCGGCTATTGGCGAGGTCGGCCTCGCCAGCAGCCGGCGTGGCCGAGCCCTCGCAATCGCCAAATCTGGCGAGGCTCGGCCCCGCCGGCAACTGGCAAGGTCGGCCTCGCCCAGCAACGGCAAGGTTCAGCCTCGGCCGACCTCGCCGTTGTTGGGTGAGGCCGACCTCGCCAGTTGCCGACAGGGCCGAGCCCTCGCCAGACTGTCCTCGCTATGGCTGGCGAGGCTCGGCCCCGCCGGCTATTGGCGAGGTCGGCCGAGCCCAACGCCGGCGAGGCCAAGCCTCGCCAGCGGCCGGCGGGGCCGACCTCGCCGGCCAGAGGTTGAAGGTGAAACAAAAAAGGAAAAGGAAAGGAAAAAGAAAAGAAAAGAAAAAATAAAAAAAAATTCGAAAAAATAAAAAATAATATTAAAAAATTGGATGAAAAGTTAACGGGATAGATTTGGGACAAAAGTAAAAGTTTGGGGTTTTTTATGAGATAAAAAAAAGTTTGGAATATAATTGGGACAAAGGCTAAAGTTGAGGGTTTTTTTGGGTATTCGGCCTAATAATTTTGGGGCAAATCGAAATAGGTGCTTAAATTGGCCGATTAGGGTTTTCAAATTGGGGTTCTCTCGATTTGGAGATTTAGGATTCTTATTTGAGGAAAATCCACCAAACGACTTCATTTTATTGTTTACATGCTGACTAAACCCTTCAGCGACCCACGTCGGCTTCAGAAATTAATATATAAAAAAAGGCCATGTCGGATTTCCAACCAATCATATCGGAGTTGGTACTGAAAAGACAGTTTTTCAAATAATTTCGCATTTAAGTGATCCAAAAAAAGCTTTTTGCACCAAAGTGAGCGTCGTACACAACTTTTGACACTTGTAATGTCCTTCTCCAAAGTCTGAGTCATAGGACTTGCTCAATCCATATCCAACCCTCACATGATTGAACTCATTTTTTATACATTTTCCCACCACTATAGTAGGCCTTCTTTCCGACATGGAACGATTTTACCTAATATTTTCCCTTTGGATCAAATATAGAAAATTCATGCTTTAGTTGTGATGCTTTCAAATTTAGATTTAATTTCCATGATACACATCATAGCAAGTTAGAAAATGAAAAACCTTCACTTTCCTATGGTTAAAAAGATTAGTGATATTAAGCACTGTAGAGTATACAAAATGGAGGATAAAAGTACACCCATTAGAGAAAGTGATACCTCCTAAAAGAAGAGAAAAAATGCTATTAATTAGGGTAAGAAAGGACCATTAACGAAGAAAAACATGCTAGGTATTATTTCCTTTTACTACAAGTATAAATAAAGAAAATCTACTACTTTAATCCGGTGTCTGTCTGTGATGGCATAAGAGTTAAGTAAAGAATGGGGAGTGAAAGAAAATGAAAAAATTCCCAATGCCAATCAGTAATAAACATTTTAATTTTACCAATTTAGTTCTAAATCTTTTGACAATTTACCAATTTATTGGGATAAAATTTCATAAAAGTCCTAAACCTTTTGTATTTGTGTCAATTTAGTCCTAAACCTTTTTTTTGTACCAATTAAGTCCTAAACCTTTTGTCTTTGTGCCAATTCAGTTCTTTTGGCTAATTTTAGCCGGATTTTGCTGACGTGGACGCTGGGCGGCCTATGTGGCACCGCCAGCGATGACGTTGATAACTTTTAATAATATTTTAATATTTTTCGAAATTTTTTTTTCTTTTCTTTCTTTTTCTTTTTTTTTTCTTTACCTCTCTTCTTCCTCCAACCGGTTGTAGACCAGGCCTCGCCGACCTCAAGCGAGCCCCACCGACCATTGGCGAGGCTCGCCTTCGCTAGTGACGGCGAAGGCGAGCTTTGCCAGCGGCTGGGCAAGGCACAACCTTGCCAGATCTGGCGAGGTCGGGCCTCACCCATGGCCAGCGAGGGTCGAGCCTCACCCAGCCCAACGTGAGGTCGGCATGTTCGTGCTATGACAAAAGAACCCCGATCTTTGGTACCTCGAGCTGGTAATCTCGGGACGCAAGGTGAGCGCGGGGAGCGATGGCAAAGTTGCTTGGAACCAGTCTTCCTCTCAGCCTTGCCATGTCAATCACGATCCTCCGAGACCCCTTGGCCGCCCTTGCGGCCATCCGGTGAGGCCTCGAGCCTCACGCTGGGCTAGGTGAGACTCGCCCTAGCTATCGCTAGAAGAAGAGAGGTAAAGAAAAAAAAAATTGAAAGAAATTTTTTTAAAAAAAATATTAAAATATTATTAAAAGTTATCTACGTCATCACCGGCGGTGCTACGTAGGCTGAACGGCATCCACGTCAGCAAAATCCAACTAAAATTAGCCGGAAGGACTGAATTGACACAAAGACAAAAGATTTAGGACTGAATTGACATCAAAAAACATTTAGGACTAAATTGGCACCAATGCAAAAGATTTAGGACTTTTCTGATACTTTTCTCTCAAATTATTGCTTCCAACCAATTTTGGGCATAATGGCTGACGTGAACGCCGGTCGTCCTAAATCGCATTATCAGCATTAACGTGGACAATTTTTTCATCTATTTCGAAAAAAAAAATTGAATTTTTTGGATTTTTTTTTATTTCTTTTATTTTTGTCATTGTGACCGGTGAACCCTCGCTGGCCTCGGCAACTCCTGCCGGCCCTCGCCAATGGCCGACAAGGCCACAAAGGCCCTAGGTGAGACCATTGCGATCTCGCCAGCCGCGGGTGAGGCGACCAGCAAGGCCCTTGCTACCCTTGCTGGTCATAATGAAAAGAAAAAATAAATTAGAAGAAATTTTAAAAATTATAAAATTGCAAAAATTGTCTACATTAATACCAACCATCCAATGTGGCATGGCCAGCATTCTCATCAAGGATTTCCAGCCAAATTTGGCTGGAAGCACTAAATTGTCAAAAGGTTTAGGATTAAGTTGGCTAAAGTGAAAAGTTTGAAACTGAATTGGCATTCATACAATGGGTTTAAAGCTTTTCTGGTAATTTTATCTTTCGTGAGGAAAGAAAACCTCAGCAGGCATTTATTAACTTTTCTTGGCCACGTTCATTATTCAGTAGGTACATGATGATTCAGTTTACCAATTAAATATCAACAAAAGAAGGAAACAATCACTGAAATAAGAAAGACAAATTACAGAGAGGATTAAATTGGTAATAAACTAAAATTTGGATAAGTTCCATATGCCGAATCAAGAAATTACAAATCTCATTAGCAAAATCACATTCGAGTTTCCATATGAGTCAATCTCAAACCAGCCTACTATAATTGGAGTATTTTCTTATTCAGTACACAGTCAATATTCTGTTTTCATATCGACCCAGGTAGATATATATATCCACGTACTCCTCCATCTGTTGTCCGCATGCGTAACTCCGAACTTCTCTTTTTCTTTCCTGCGTTTCAGTTCAAAACCAACAGTCAGCGCTCTCGGCGATGAAGCACTCCCCCTCCATTTCCCTCACTTCCTTCTCTTTCTTCTTCTTCCTCCTCCTTATTGCCAGGTGAAGCTCGAATCACACTTGCCTTCCTCGTGTGCTTGGGTACTCAGATTTATCTTAATGAACGACTAGAAGAAAGGCAGTTCTGAATATACGGTGACGAGAATCGTGGCGTTTTAATGGTGGCTCTTTCTGTTCACTTATCGTCTGTAATGGTGGAGATATGGTAGGACGTGGAAATTGGAGGTGACGCGTTCATCGTGAGTTCTGTGTGAAAGTTTTGGAGACCAAAACTGATTCGTGTGAGTTCCGTGCTTGTTCCGGGTGATCTTGGGAAACTGATTCGTTCATGTCTCTGTTGGTTTATGATGACTTGGGTTGGTCTCGGATTTTGCATTGGGAGTCCTGAGGGTAATTGTGAGACGGAGGATGGGCTAATCAGAGAATTATCAGAGTCAACATAGATAACTCTGCGAAAATTTCTGTGTTTTTTTATTATGTAGTTGCTATTTTGCTTGAATAATGGTGGCTCTAACAGAGATGGGCTTGGATATCTCCAGCAAAATTATTCCTTTGATGTATTTTGACAACATTGTAAAAGTTTGTGTGTAAAACTGCTAACTTATACAATAATGTTGGTTGGAATCTTCGTACGTATATGGCAATGCATTCCCCTTTAAGATGTTAATTCAATTGTTCGCAAATTTCTTGCACAACATGTGAAGTATTCAGGAGTTCTAATTAGGCGAAGCAAGTGGTAAGACTAATTTCAATTTTTCAGTGTCTCGTCCGAGGAGCGTGCTAGCACCCCGCCAAGAGGTTGGAATTCTTATGATTCCTATTCCTGGATCATCTCCGAAGACGAGTTTCTGCAAAATGCCGAGATCCTTTCCCAGAAGCTACATGCTCAGGGATATGAGGTTATATCCATACTACTGTGACATTTGACCGATATATATTGTCGCTTTTCCTCTAGAATAGCAAAGGAATCTTAGTGAAACTAAAGCATTTTCTTTTTCGTCCTTCTTTTCGTCTCCTCTCCAAAATATGCAGTATGTAGTAGTGGACTTCCTTTGGTATCGTAGAAAAGTGACAGACACTGGCACCGATTCTCTGGGATTCGATGTGATTGATGAATGGGGAAGGATGATCCCTGACCCTGATCGATGGCCGTCGTCTAGTGGTGGGAAAGGGTTCACTGAAGTCGCAAATAAAGTCCATAGCATGGGACTGAAGTTCGGGATACATGTCATGAGAGGAATAAGCACGCAAGCTGTCAATGCTAACTCTCCTATACTGGATACCACCACGGTTTGTTCGTATTACTCTACGCTTTCATCTGCTGATTTTTCTCCTTGTTGCACAAAGCCTTCTTTTAGACAAGATTGACGGGAAATTTTCTCATTGGTGTTGAAATTCGTCATTTGAAGGAGTTCCTTTAAACTATTTATGCTCACTTTCATCAAACGATCTAAATGACTGATCTGATGCCAGAGTCTTAGGAAGAGTGTTAAGCGTGACCCTCAATTTCTCTGAAATTACTTTTTTACTTCTACTCTGTTTCTCTACTAGGGACGTGCATATGAAGAGTCCAGTCGAGTTTGGCATGCACAAGATATAGGGCTTACGGAAAAGACTTGTGCTTGGATGCAACATGGATTCATGAGTGTAAATACTGACTTAGGAGCCGGAAAAGCCTTCTTGAGGTCACTTTATCAGCAATATGCATCGTGGGGCGTTGATTTCAGTGAGTGACAACGTCTTCTGTGTATTTTTACAGCCGCAGTCACCTCTTAAATTCAAAATTCTTCAATTAGTTTCAAACAATGATATAACTAAATGACTGGAGATGAACTTAATTTTGAATCACTTCAGTCACTATCTTTAATACTAATTGTTTATCGTTCTGATGCAGTTAAAAATGACTGTGTATTTGGTAACGATCTGAATATAAATGAGATCACGTACATCTCTGAGGTGCGATATGATGGCTCTTTATCTTTTATTCACCTACTCACGCAGTCCTTTCTGCAAATGAAAACTGAAGCGGGTCCTGTATCTGGTATGGCCTTGCACAGATTCTAAAGGAGCTTGACCGTCCAATCCTGTATTCTCTGTCTCCCGGAACTAGTGCAACACCAGATATGGCAAAGGCTGTGAGTGGATTGAGCAACATGTACAGAATTACTGGGGATGATTGGGATACATGGGCAGATGTTGCTGCACATTTTGATGTTGCAAGGTGATTTAACATGTGACAGTAGAGCGCAAAAGTCATGGATTTGGCTCACCTATCGATAGTCTCATAATTTGTTGTTCATCAGGGACTTCGCTGCAGCTAAAATGATTGGCGCCAGTGGCTTGTTGGGGACATCATGGCCTGACCTTGATATGCTACCACTGGGATATCTCACTGATCCAGGTAATAACACTGGGCTTCTCTTATTCTCCGATAAACTTGAAGGTCTGTTGCTCCATTCCCCGGAGGGATTGGCCAGACTAATAAGTGGGTATAAAGCTGTTTTAGCGGCCTTAGCACTCCATCAAATTAATGTTGCCTGCAAATGGTTCTGATTACTGTTACATGAGGAGCCGAGAGATTCCACCCACTAGGGCAGGCGCTAGCAGATCGCCTTGGATTTTCAGAACAAAGTAATTAACATGCTAATCTTGTGATGTTGTAAAACCTAATGTCCACAAGGAGACAGAGAGAGGCTTTGATGTGATGGTAAGGCCTTGCCCTCGAAGGTTATGCCTTGACTGCTCCTTTGGGGTTTCAACATTGTGGACTCTGTCCGGGTTGCACATGAAGAGTGAATTCTCACCGTGGCTTATGCAAGCTAATTTTGTGTACTCTAGCATAAAATTACAGCTCATGATAAAGCTTCCTTAGTGTCAAGTTGCCTACCAATTGGAATGTGGCAGATGGGTAGTTTTTGATACCTCGCGATCATGGTTGGCTGTGGTTCCTTCTGTATGTAACTTTTGCAGTTTCCAAATTATCTTGCGTATGTGAACTCCTTGTCAATGTCCATGGAAAAGTAGATGGAATGACGTGTTGCTAAAGTGAAACTCTCTCGACAACTAGGTTCAAATGAAGGCCCTCATAGGACATGTAGGCTTACCATAAAGGAGCAAAGAACTCAGGTATGTGTTTAATGAGGATTTTTTGTGACTTCAGTATTTGCGCCAATCAGATAATCATATGTCATGCTAACGGATTATACTTGTAGGTGACTTTGTGGTCAATCGCCAAGTCTCCCCTCATGTTTGGTGGAGATTTGAGGAACATTGATGATACAACTTTCAGTCTTATCACCAATCCTACTGTGCTTGAGATAAATTCCTACAGCTCAAACAATGTGGAGGCACGTACTCTGTCTTAACATCTGATAAAACAAAACATTTCCAAGCACTTTAAGGCTACTTACGAGAATAAATTTACAGTTCCCATATATCAGTGGGGTGGGTCCAAGTGGTAGAAATTACGAGCCGTCTAAAATGTTCCCGACAAGAATGGAAGAGTCAGTGGTAGAGGTTGTGGGTCTGACTAGTTGCAAAGATCCAAAAGCAAGCGGATGGCTGATCGAAGGGCTGGACCAAGATTTGGAGCGGATCTGCTGGAAAAAGAACATGGAGGGTAGACATGGAGAACCTTTTTGCCTATACAAGAGAAATTCTTCGGTCAAATCGTAAAAAAGCTCTCTCCTACTTCTACTCATTTCCATTTGTGTTCTCTGTACTGTAATTGTTCATAGCAGAGAGTGTTGATATATGCTTGTGCTGTGAAACAGAGACAAAGAGATAACGTACGGGAGCCAATATCTGGGAACACTTCCCTTATTAGCTTCTGAAAATGCGGACTTCTGCTTAAATGCTTCTCCAAGACGCAAAATCACGTCTAGTGAGTTTACAAGAGGCTCATTTTCCCGCTGCACATGGAATGCTAATCAGGTATGTGTTATTATTAGTTGAAGATCAGCACAGAAGACAAACTTGAGACCCAATTAGAAAAATTCCTCTGCTTCATTTTTGGAACCTGTTGATATTATCAAGTAAATTATGTTATTGCGATATTCCATACCACTATAATTTTTGTCTTCAAACGAGAATTCATCATTTGGCTTAGATTCATGTGGAAAATAACATAAGGAATGTTTAATTTTGACAGATATGGGAGTTTCACAGTAACGGGACACTGATAAGCAGCTATTCTGGACAATGCGCAATAATGAAAAAAGTCAAAGGTTATAAAACGAGATCCTGATCTCATACACCAGAAATTAAATGTTTTGTACAACTTATTTACGGCCGCAGTGTTTGTGCAGCTAATGATGCTGATGCAGGAATTCGCTCCTGGATCGCAACTGGAAGATCAGGTTTGATTTTTACCCCACTCCTCCACTTGCATAATTTGGATGTAGACACTTTTTAAGGCACAACGAAATGCAATGTAATCCAGTTTCAAACAAATGGTCCAAGGCCTAATCACAGCAGATCTTGATATCTTTGCCCAACAATCTACTTGAGCAAGTATGAGCATTTTTAGACCTTTTTCTTGGCTCAGTTTTGTTCTTACGTCAATGCAGGAGAAATATATCTAGCCTTTTTCAACCTGAATCAAGTCGACATGGTGATAGCCACGCATGTCTCCGACCTGGCCAAGGGTCTTCCTGGTCGGAGCGTCACTTCTTGTACAGGCAAAGAAATATGGACGGACACCGACTACATCCAACCAATGAATGACACAGTAGCAGCAATGGTGGATTCTCATGATTCCGCCCTATTTGTCCTCAACTGTAATTGATTAGGACGAATAGGTGCAAATAAGATTTTGGTTTCAAATTCCTTTGAACTTTATTCCTGTTTGCCTCCTTACCTTCATCGGCATCGTCACGAAGAACACATTTTTCTGAATCTGAGAAGTATGCACTGGAACAAGACGGTTAAAAATGTGGGAAAATAAAGAGGTGCCCTGCTGCAAATTTAAAGGAGCAGGTTTTGTCAGATCATGGGTTCAAATCTGTTGTTTTTCAAAGAACAAAAGGAGAATTGACAGCAAAAGCTGTATTTTTTGCAGCAAAACTGTATTATGCAACAAGACAGAATGTATTGGAAGGGAACTTCTCTTTTTATTCAGAAAACTGAAATTGCTTAAATACAGACTAAAGCTTATCCATAAACACACGTTGCCCACTAACTAACAGCTTGCTTGGTCCACAAAAACAGCAACAAACTAACAGAACAGTTAAAAAAAAACATGCAGCTAAACACTCCTACAAAATAAGACTGACCAAGTAAAACCACGACTAATTAACTCCTAGAAAACAGGACATCAGCAAACTGACTTAATAGAAAATAGATAGTGCAGCCTTGATACAACAACACTCTCCTCCTGGATCAAGTGCTGCACACTCCTAGCTTTGCCCTGAGAAGTTCAAATCGACCAACATGAAATGACTTAGTGAATATATCTGCAATTTGGTTTTCTGAACTACAGTACACCAGCTTCACCTCTCCAGCCTTCTGCACTTCTCTCAAGAAGTAATACTTGACCTTAAAATGCTTTGTTCTTCCATGAAATACTGGATTCTGTGAAATGGCCATAGTAGCTTGATTATCCACAAATACTTCTATGCCTTCTTCTTGCTCCAAATGCAGATCATCCATCAGCTTCTTTAACCATAATGCTTGATTCACAAAGTCAGCTTCTGCAATTGATTGAGCCACTATTTCCTGCTTCTTTGAACACCAGGAAAAACATGCTGACCCAAATGTAAAGCAATACCCTGAAGTGCTTCTCATATCATCCACTGATCCTGCCCAGTCACTATCAAAATACCCCTGCAACTTAAACTCCTGAATTCTACAGAACTTAATTCCATTTGAAAGAGTACCTTTCAAGTACCTCAACACCCTCTTTGCAGCTACCATATGCAACTCACTTGCACAATTAAGGAATCTAGACAAGACACTTACAGTAAACATGATGTCTGGCCTAGTTGCAGTGAGATACATAAGACAGCCAATCAAACTTCTATAAACTCTTTCATTTGCAGGTTCTGATCCATCCTTCTTTTGAAGCTTTTCCTTCTGACCCATTGGAGTACTCACACTCTTGCACTCCTCCATGTTGAATCTCTTCAGGATCTCCTTCAAGTACTTCTTCTGACAGATAAAAACTTCATTCTGAGTCTACCTAACCTCCATCCCCAGAAAATACGACATCTCACCAAGATCAGTCATTTCAAACATCTTCATAATCTCTTGCTTAAATGCAGTAATCTAAGCACTATTACTCCCTGTCACCAGCATATCATCCACACAAAGAGACACTACCACTAAGTCAGATACTAACTTCTGGACATATAGAGTGGATTCACTGAGGCTTTTCTTGAAACCCCGGCCTAGCAAGTGCTCATACATCTTACTGTACCATGCTCTGGGAGCTTGCCTCAAGCCATAGAGAGCCTTTCTCAACAAATGAACTTTCTCTTCCTGGCCTGGTGTGACAAAGCCTTCTGGCTGCTCAACATAAATCTCCTCCTGCAACACTCCACTCAAAAATGCAGATTTCACATCTAATTGATACACCTTCCATCCTTGTTGAGCTGCCAAAGCAAGAGTCATTCTAATGGTATCCAGTCTTGCCACAGGAGCAAAGGTTTCTGAGAAATCAACTTCCCAAACCTGTGCATGTCCCTTCACCACCAACTTGGTCTTATGCTTATTCACTGAACCATCAGGATTGAGTTTGGTCCTGAAAACCCATTTTACTCCAATCACCTTCCTGTCTTTAGGCCTCTCCACTAGCTCCCATGTCTGGTTCTTTTCTATCATAGCCAACTCTTCCTTCAATGCATTCATCCACCTCTGATCACTTTTAGCTTCCTCATAACCTGCAGGTTCCAAAACAGCCACACTGCACCTCTGATATATATCAGTCAGAGATTTGGTACCTCTAACTGGAACATCATCCACCAGCTCGTCAGGTCCAGTGAGACCTCCTTGTGTTTGCCTTGTGGCTCATCTGTCCAGTCCCATTGCTCATCTTCCAGGAACTGAACATCCTTGCTAGTGATCACCTTCCCTGTCTGTGGTTGATAGATCCTGTAGGCTTTTGACACTAAACTGTAGCCAACAAAGATCCCAGGTTCAGCTTTCTCTCCCAGCTTGTCTCTCTTGACCTGTGGAATATGAGAAAAACACAGACAGACAAACACCTTCAAATTTCTTAGAATTGGCTTGACACCAAACCAAGCTTCAAAGGGTGTCTTCTTCTCCAATACCCTTGTAGGTAGTCTATTCAGCAGAAAAACTGTTGTGTTTGCTACTTTTGCCCAAAATTTTGTGGTAGATTCTTCTCATGCAGCAGACACCTAGTCATCTCCATAATGGTTATATTCTTCCTCTCACTAACTCCATTTTGCTGTGGAGAGTAAGGAACAGTAAGCTGATGCTCAATTCCAGCCTCTTCACAGAAAGAGTTGAACCTCTGTGAAGTGTATTATGTTCCATTATTAGATCTGATGACCTGAATCTTGTAGCCACTTTGGTTCTCAACCCATCTCTTAAACTTCAGAAATACCTCAGCAACTTCTGACTTTTGCTTCATGAAGTAAATCCAGCACATTCTAGTATAATCATCAATGAAAATAATGAAATACCTGCTGCCATTTAGTGAAGGAGTCACTTGTGGACCACAGAGATCTGTATGAATCAGCTGCAGCTTCTCTGTAGCTCTCCAAGTGGATTCCTTGAAGGGAAGTCTTGTCTGCTTGCCCAGCAAACAAGCCTTGCACCTTGTGATATGCTCCTCTAGGCTTGGTAACCCAGTTGCCATTTCATTCCTCTGCATGAACAGCAAGCCTTTGTGATGAAAGTGCCCCAACCTCTTGTGCCATATCTTTGAATTACTGGCCTGACACTTGAATGCCACCTGCTCCTTCTCGAGAGGATTCAAAGAAAAACTCTTCTGTTGCATCTTTATCTTGAGAAGCTCCTAACCACTGAAGTCAAAGATCAAACACTTCCCCTCTTCAAATATCACCTTAAATCCCTTTTCTACCAACTGCCCCACAATCAGCAAATTCTGATTAATCTCAGGCACATACATCACATTAGAAACTAGCTTAGTTCCACCACAACTCTCTATTGCTATAGTCCCTTTACCTTTCACTTCTAAGTACTCCCCATTCCCAATCCTCACTCTTGACTTCAATGACTTGTCAAGGTCTATAAATAGCTTTTCATCAATTGTCATGTGGTTTGTGTAACCACTATCAACAAGCCAATTGTCACATGGAGTACTAGAGGAGAAACAAAAGGCAACAAACAGTTGATCTACCTCTTGCTGGACTGCAGCATGTGCCTCACCTTGCTGCTGATCTCCCTTCACTTTGCAGAACTTCTCAATGTGTCCAAGCTTATGACATTTTTTGCGTCTTACATCTGGCCTCTTGCAACACCTAAAGTGTGGATGATTCTGTTTTCCACAGTGCTGACATGAGGAATACCTTCTCCAATTGTTCTTGGAGTTGCATGCACTGTTCTCTCCTGCAGCAGCTTCTGAACCACTACTGCCATTTCGTTTCTTCCCTTTCCACTTCTTGCCTTTCCCTCCTACATTTTGCTGTTCTTTGGCCTGCAAAGCTCCTTTTGTACTTCCTTCCAGCCTCATTAACCTCCTCTGCTCTTGTGCTTGCAGAGCACTTAGCAATTCTGCCAACTTGATCTGAGACAAATCCTTGGTATTCTCCAAAGAGGCAATGGTTGCCTCAAACCTTTCAGGCAATGAGACAAGAATCTTCTACACTAGCCTATTATCAGAGAGGTCAGTACCTAGAACTCTTGCCTGATTTGCAATGCTTATCAACTTATCAGAATACTCCTTAATTGTCTCAGACTCCTTCATCTGCAGTCTCTCGAATTCTGTGATCAGATTTAGCCCCTTCATGCTTCTGATCCTCTCATCTCCTTGATACTCAGCTTTGAGGAAGTTCCAGATAGCTTTGGCTGATTCACAAGCCATAATTCTGCTGAAAATGGCAAGTGAGACAGCAGCATATAAACAAGACTTTGCCTTTGCTTTCCTTGTTGTCCTCTCCGTGTGATACTTGATCTAATTAATGGTTGGATTGTCAGGAAGGGGAACAACTTCATAATCTTGTTCCACAACTTCCCAAAAATCACAACCCTCTAGATAGGCTCGCATTCTCACTGCCCAGGCTTGATAATTTTCTCCATCAAACACTGGTGGAGCCATTGCTGAAAAACCACTCGATTCTACCTCCATCTTGCCTTCGGCTTCTATTGATGCAGACACACCTCTCAATCAATCTCACAAGTCACTCACAGCCCCTTAAGATCAAGAAAGCTCTGATACCAATGTTGTTTTTCAAAGAATAGAAGGAGAATTGACAGCAAAAGCTGTATTTTTTGCAGCAAAATTGTATCATGCAACAAGACAGAATGTATTGGAAGGGAACTTCTCTTTTTATTCAGAAAACTAAAATTGCTTAAATACAAACTCAAGCTTATCCATAAACACACGTTGCCCACTAACTAACAGCTTGCTTGGTCCACAAAAACAGCAACAAACTAACAGAACAGTTAAAAAAAAACATGCAGCTAAACACTCCTACAAAATAGGACTGACCAAGTAAAACCACGACTAATTAACTCCTAGAAAACAGGACATCAGCAAACTGACTTAATAGAAAATAGATACTGCAGCCTTGATACAACAACAAAATTAGTCGTATTGGCAATGAAGTTGGGCCTTGTTTTGGCTCAGCACCAGAATCTTAGGGTGCGTTTATTGCGCAAAAATCATTTTTTATCCGATGCAAAAACCGAGATCAACCCAAGTCATCATAAACCCACATAGACGGATTAGTTTCCCAAGATCACCCGGAACTCGCACGGAACTAGCACGGAACTCACATAGAATCAGTTTTGGATTGTTTCGCCAAAACTTTCGCACGGAACTTGAGATGAACGCATCGACCATGTCCTATCATATCTCCACCATTACATAGCATAAGTCAACAAAAAGAGCCACCAGAGCTTATTAGGTAAGTCGATAACTTGCATTACCAGACGAAAAAAGAACTGCCTTTCTTCTAGTCGTGCATCAAGAAAAAGCACAAAATCTGGTTCGAGTTCGCAGTGAACAAGCACGCGCGCAACGCGAATGTGATTCGAGCTTCACCTGACAACTAGGAGGAAGAAGAAGAAAGAGAAACAAGTGAGGGAAATGGCGAGGGAAAGCGTCATTGCCGAGAGCGCTGACCGTTGGTTTCGAACTGAAACGCAGGAAAGAAAACAGAGAAGGCGTCAACTTTCGGCGTGTTCCTGAATTACGCATACAGTGACCAGTAGTAGCAGTTGATATGAAAATAGAATATTGACTTTCTAATGAAGAAGAAAATCCTCCCATTTTAGTAGGCTAATTAGAGATTGACGAAGGTCCTTGACGAAGTACGTGTGCCGAAAACCATAGATGATGGTTAATTGGAGGATTTTGTTGGGTCTATTTTGTTGAAGGATCATATTTCTTTTGCTGACTAAGATTTCCCAATTAACGATCCTACTCATATGAGAGCACCACACGTTTCCGTGAAGTGTCAGTGATACGATTTGACCTTGTCAAGGTCAAGCCTGTATCTACCCTTCTAGCCTCGAAGACCAAATTTTCTGCTAACTCTGGTGAGGTTCTCGCTTCTCCGATGTATCGACAGGTGATTGGTGCTCTATAGTATGTGTCCATGACCAAACCAGATATTAGTTTTGTCGTGAACTTGATTAGTCAATTCATGCATCAACCACGATTACGTCATCTCCAGGCTATCAAAAGTATATATGGATATTTAGCTAGCACATCCAACCATGGATTGCTCATTGAGCGCTGTTCTCCCACTTCATAGACTGCTTATGCGAATGCAGACTGGGTTGGATGCTTCGATACTCGACTGTCCACCTTCGATTTTTGTGTTTGTCTAGGCACCAAGCTTATTCATGAGAAGAATACGTTGGAACGAACAGGAAAAAAATGTGGGAAAATAAAGAGATGCCCTACTGCAAATTTAGAGGAGCAGGTTTTGTCCATCATGGATTCAAATAAGTCGTATTGACAATGAAGCTAGGCCTCGTTTTGGCTCAGCACCAGAATCGTTAAGCTGTGTTTATTTCGCAAAAACCATTCTAACAGAAAATATTTTCGTATTTTTCAACGTTTAAATTGTTTAAGAAAATAAGTTAATAAAAAAAATTTCATAATTAAGAAAAAATATATTCTTAAGTTCAAGAGAAGGATTTCCGCTTTTAAAAATTAGAATCATTTTTCAAAATACGACTAAACACCGACACTTACACCAAAGACCGGATCCCCAGCAGTTGGGCCAGGCTCCCAGAGGCTAAGCCCAAGACATCGGTGCCTGTGCCAGTATCCCTAGCGGCTATGCCCGAATACATGGCTCCCATGTCTAAGTCACTAGCGCTCGGGACCATTAAGGCTAGCCCAGTTTCTTGGCGGTTGAACCCAAGTCCACAAACGCTTGGCCAGTCCCTCAAAACTAGGCCCATGACCCCAATGCCCGTGGCTCAGTCTCCGGCGATCATAACCAAGGTACTCAACTTTTGCGCCCAAGTCAGAGGCGGGGATCAGACCCAGGTGCCCTTGCTCGGGTCCCCTGCAACCATGCTTGGGTTTGGAATCCAACTCTTGTGCCCAAGTCACCAACGTCCAAGCCTTGGGTCTACAAAAGCCGGGACCTGAACCTGAACCTCTAGATTAAACAAATTGAAAGTTTCGAGACTAAATTAAATATTTATGAATAGTTCAAGAATCATTGTCAAGGGGTCAATGATCTTTGGGGTAATGAAAATGACTTTGCAGTTCCCCAAAACTCTCCCAAACGCACCCGACAACCCTCCTCATGCCCAACAAATCTAGTGGGGTCATCCTCAGGAGTGGTTACCCTTGCATGTCCACTTACTCCCATGGGTTTTTTGACCCTTGCAATCTAGGCAAGAAGAGCACACCTTGGCTCGGATCGGTGATCATTACCTGACCTCTAACAAGATCCTCATCGGGGTGAAGTAGGGACGACCCGCTATCCCTCTTATCTCTTTCTTTTCTGGTTACACATGTCCAATCAGCATTTTTTGACGGTTTGCTTCACCTGTCACGCCAAGCAAGTATGCTTGATAGGATTGCTCCTGATAGATTGATTACCCAAGAATCCAAATTGCACAAGTCAAGCAAACTGCAGGAGGATGCGTTTACATTAGAAAGAATAATTAAGAATACTTAATCAGACATCTAACAAAAAATGAGTCTAACTTGATTGCTTGCCTTAGTGGCCACCTCTCTGCAGTCCAATAGTATCTGGCCAATCAATAGCCTCCCAACCTCCAACGTTTTGGCGACCAACCGTTCGTCTCTTTTCACGTGGAGAGACCACCTGGCTCTGTTCTGATATCAAGAGCTGACAAAGAGCTAAAAACAGCATAATGGCATCATTAAATATGTTAATCACGAGATGATAATATTTGCATTAACGGAAGAGCAAATAATTAAAAAAAGCAACGTCGGTATTTTCATCAGCCAAGTTAGACGGAATTAACGGAAGGACTTGATTATATCAATTTGATAAGTCTTAAGACCTAATAGTATTTTTTTGCAAATTTTAGGATTCAATTATATCTTCGTGATAAATTTTAAAACGTTCACTACATTTATCCCAGAAGTGGGAGGAGAAGCTCAAATACCCTATTTGGAAGTGCTATAGGAAAGACAGGTGAAGATTTGGAGGGTGAAAAAAAATCAATGATATGACCAGAGTGGCATCACTCTCGACTAGGATCAACAATTCATATTTGCTTGCTGTGTTAGTGTCGACCATTCGTATCATTTCAATGTGATTATAAGTAAAATCCTTAAATTGGATAGCTACAATCTTATCAATCAAAGATTGAAATAAAAATTCACATCAGAAAAATGGAGTGGCCAATATTTCATTGAAACATTAAGATTGTAAATATCAAAAAATAAGAAAGAACTAATTACTTAAAAGAAATAAATGGGTAATAAACAGGGGGGAGTGCAACCAACGCAACAAATTGTATTTCAAAAAAAAAATTTACAGTTTAAGCAAACTTCCATGATGCTAACTCACAATATTTCTCAATCTAATTAACAAAACCTCACTCAAGTTTCCCTATAACGCAAATCTTAAATCAACCTCCGAATACACCATCATATTTTAGGATACGTTTATTTCGTGAAAAACAAACGATTTGAATTATCATTTGCATCGTCTGAATATTATTAATCATTACAAAAAATTTCCATTATCGATAATAATTTATATATAAATATTTTCATGGACGATGAAATTATTTCTTTCTGACTCATTTTTGTAAGTGGTACAAGCAATCATTTTTTTAAAAACTTAGGTAGCCTTGAGTGAAACTTTCTGGCCTAATCATTAGAGAGTCAATGTTCTATTTTGCTATTGGTCCACACCCACCCACCCTCGTGAATGTGTGTGGATTAGAATAAGAAAGTTTCCACCTTCTCCTTCCTTCCTTCCTCCTTTGCTGCGTTCTTCCACCTCAAGACCGACCGACAGTTCATCACTCTCGGTGATGAAGCTCTCCCTCTCCACTTCCCTCCCTTCCTTCTCCTTCTTCCTCTTCTTGTTCCTGCTCGTTCTCAGGTGAAGCTCGAATCTCTTCCAATTGGGTTTTGACTTTTTCCTTCAATGCACGACTAGAAGGCAGGCAGTTCCGAACTTACGGGGACGAGGGTCGTTGTGTTTTTCGTTTTGTAACGCGAGTTAGGGACTTACCCAATAAGCTCCGGTAGCTCTTTTTGCTGATCTATAACTCTGTGATGGTGGAGATATGACGGGACGTGAGAATTGGAGGTCAACGCGTTTGTTGAGAGTCCCGTGCGAGAGTTTTGCAGAAACAGTCGCGGTGATTGTTGGAAACTGATTTGTTCGTGTGTCCGTTGGTTTATGAGGATTTGGGTTGGTCTCGGATTTTGCATTTTGAGTCTAGTGAGGGTAATTGTGAGACAGAGGATGGGCTAAATCAGATAACCGTCGGAGTCAACATACACCTTTCTTTTGTTTTTGGTAAATTTTTGGTTGTGAGTTGCTTTTTTTAGATTGCTCTGTGTCAATTTCTGTGCTTTTGATTCTGTTGTTACTATTTTGCTTGAATCACTGTGGCACTATCAAAAATGGTGTTTTGATGTATTTTGACAACATTGTAAAAGTTCATGTGTAAAACCTTTAACTTAAACTATAATGTGGGTTGGAATCTTTGTATGTATATGGGAATGTATTTCCTCAGATGTTCCGAAAAATTTTTGCGCGACATCTGAAGTATTCAGTAATTCTAATCAGGTGAAGCAATTGGTAAGACTAATTTCAATTTTTCAGTGTCTCATCTGAACCTTTGCGTCGAAAGGATGAAGAGCGTGCTAGCACCCCGCCAAGAGGTTGGAACTCTTATGATTCCTTTGGCTGGGCCGTCTCCGAGGAAGAGTTTCTGCAAAATGCGGAGATCCTTTCCCAGAAGCTACATGCTCAGGGATATGAGGTCATATCTGTACGACTGTCACATTATATTGATAGATTGTCAGTTTTTATCTAGAATAGCAAGCGATTCTTAGTGAAACTTAAAGCATTTTCTTCTCTCGTCCTCACTTTTGTCTCTTCCCTCAAAACTACGCAGTATGTAGTTGTCGACTACCTTTGGTACCGAAGAAAAGTGCCGGGCGCCTACGTTGATTCTCTGGGATTCGATGTGATTGATGAATGGGGAAGGATGATCCCTGACCCAATTCGATGGCCTTCGTCTAGAGGTGGGAAAGGGTTCACCGAAGTCGCAAATAAAGTCCATAGCATGGGTCTAAAGTTCGGGATACACATCATGAGAGGAATAAGCACGCAAGCTGTCAATGCCAAGACTCCTATCTTGGATACGACCACGGTTTGTTCATTTTACTCGTAGGCTTTCATCTGCTGATTTTCTCTGTGTTGCACAAAGCCTTCTTTTAGACAAGATTGATTATCATTGGTGTTAAAATTACTCATGAGAGTGAGTTCCTTTAAACTATTTATGTTTGCTGTTATCAAAATAGACTGGTCTGCTGCCATAGTCTTAGGAAAAGTATCAATCGTGACCCTTGATTTTCTCTGAAATAACTTCTTTACTTCTACTCTGTTTCCATACTAGGGAAGTGCATATCAAGAGTCCGGTCGGGTTTGGCATGCACAAGATATAGGGATGAAGGAAAAGGCTTGTGCTTGGATGCGACATGGATTCATGAGCGTAAATACTGACTTAGGAGCTGGAAAAGCCTTCTTGAGGTCGCTTTATCAGCAATATGCATCATGGGGCGTTGATTTCAGTGAGTTGATCAGGAGTTTTGTAAATTTTTGGGGCTGCCGATCACCTCTTAAATTCAACTGCTTCAATTAGTTTAAAACAATGATTTAACTAAATAATGACTGTTGATGAAATTAATTTATGAATGGTTTCAATCACTATCTTTAACACTAATTGTTTATCATTTTCATGCAGTAAAAAATGACTGTGTATTTGGCGATGATCTGAACATAAATGAGATCACGTACATCTCCGAGGTGCGATATGATGGCTCTTTATCTTTTATTCACCTATTCAACACTGTCCTTTCTATTACTGAGATCCTGCAAATGAAAACTGAGGCGGCTACACTGTCCGATGTGGCCTTGCACAGGTTCTAAAGGAGCTTGACCGTCCCATCCTGTATTCTCTGTCTCCTGGAACTAGTGTTACACCAGATATGGCAAAGCCTGTGAGTGGATTGAGCAACTCGTACAGAATTACTGCGGATGATTGGGATTCATGGGGAGATGTTGCATCACATTTTGATGTTGCGAGGTGATTTAACATGTGACAGTCGAGCTCAAAAGTCATGGACATACATCACCTATTTTTAATCTGATAATTTATTGTTCATCAGGGACTTCTCTGCTGCTAAAATGATTGGCACCAGTGGCTTGTTGGGGACATCATGGCCTGACCTTGATATGCTACCACTGGGATATCTTACTGATCCAGGTAATAACACTGGGCTTGTCTTATTCTGCGATTAGTTGAAGGTCTGTTGCTCCATACCCTTAAGGGATTGGCTGGACAAATAAGCGGGTATAGCGCTGTTTTAACGGCCTTAGCACTCCATCAAATTAATATTGCTTGCAAATGGGTCAGATTTCTGTTACATAAGGAGCCGAGAGATTACACCCAGTAGTGCAGGTCCTAGCAGATTGCTTTGGATTTTCAGAATAAAGTAATTAACATGCTAGTCATGTGATGTTGTAAAACCTAATGTGCATTGTGGAGCCAGAGAGAGGCTCTGACGTGATAGTAAGGCCCCAGCCTTGAAGGTTATGCCTCAAACGCTCCTTTGGGGTTTCAAGCATGCGGACTCTGTCTGGGTTGTTACACACATAGAGTGAATTCTCGCTGTAGCTTGTGCAAGCTAATGATAAAGCTTCACCTGCAATTTCAGAAGGTGGCAGATGGATAGTTTGAAACTTCACAATCGTGGTTATATGGCAGGCATCAGTAGACAGTGGATGTCAGAGCTCCTTCCTTATGTAATTTTTGCCGTTTGCAAATTATCTTGCATTCATGAACTCCTTGTCACTGTCTATGGAAAAGTAGATGAAGTGATGTATTGCTAAAGTGAAAACTCTCTCAACAATTAGGTTCAAATGAAGGCCCTCACAGGAGATGTAGGCTGAACCTAAAGGAGCAAAGAACACAGGTATGTGTTTAATAAGGATTTTTTGTGACTTTAATATTTTCACCAATCAGAAAATCATATTTCGAGCTAACAGATTATAGTTGTAGATGACTTTGTGGTCGATGGCCAAGTCTCCACTCATGTTTGGTGGAGATTTGAGGAACATTGATGATACAACTTTCAGTCTTATCACCAATCCCACTCTACTCGAGATAAATTCCTATAGCTCAAACAATGTGGAGGCATGTACTCTCTCTTAAGATTCAATAAAACAAACATTTCGAAGCATTTTAGGCTACTTATATGGATAAATTTACAGTTCCCATATATCCGTGGGTCATCAAGTCCAAGAGGTCGAAAACACGGAAGGTATGGAATGTACCCAACGCGTGTGGAAGAGTCAGAGGTAGAGGTTTTCGGTCTGACTAGTTGCAAAGATCCGAAAGCAAGCGGCTGGCTGGTCAAAGGGCTGGACCAAGATTTGGAACGGATTTGCTGGAAAGAGAACATGGAGGGTAGATATGGAGAACCTTTTTGCCTATACAAGAGAAATTCTTTAGTCGAATCGTAAAAATGCTCTCTCCTTTTTCTACTTTTTTCCATTTGCCGTTCTCTTTACTGTAATTTTTCATAGCACAAGTGTTGATATATGCTTGTGCTGGGTAACAGAGACGAAGAAATAATGTATGGGAGGCAATATCAGGGAGCACTTCACTTATTAGCTTCTGAAAATGCAAAGTACTGCTTAAATGCTTCTCCAAGACGCAAAATCACGTCTAGTGAGTTTACAAGAGGCTCATTTTCGCGCTGCACGTGGAATGCTAATCAGGTACGTGTTATTAATAGTTGAAGATCAGCACAGAAGACAAACTTGAGACCCAATTAGAAAAACTCCTATGCTTGTTACATTTTTGGCACCTGTTAATAATATCAAGTAAATGATGTTATTGCGACATTCCATACCACTCTATTTTTGTCTTCGAACTAGAATTCATCATTTGGGTTAGATTCATGCAGAAGATAACAAATGGAATGTTTAATTTTGACAGATGTGGGAGTTTCACGGTAATGGTACGCTGATAAGCAGCTATTCTGGACTGTGCGCTATAATGAAAAAAGTCAAAGGTTATAAGAAGAGATCCTGATCTCAAACACTACAAATCTAATTTTTTGTACGACTTATTCACAGCCAAATTGTTTGTGCAGCTAATGCTGGTGCTGCAGGAGCTCGCTCCTGGATCGCAACTGGAAGATCGGGTTGGATTTTTACCCCACTCCTCCTCTGGCATAATTTGGATGTAGACATTTTTTAATGCAGAACAAAATGCAACATAATCCAGTTTCAAATAAATGGTCAAAGGCCTAATCAGCATATCTTACTAGCTTTGCCAAACAATCTACTTGAGCAAGTATGAGCATTCTTAGACCTTTTTTTGGCTCAGCTAGTTTTGTTCTTATATTATGCAGGAGAAATATATCTGGCCTTTTTCAACCTGAATCCAGACAACATGGTGATAGCCGCAGAAGTCTCCGACCTGGCCAAGGCGCTTCCCGGTCAAAGCGTCACTTCTTGTGTAGGCAAAGAAATATGGAGCGGCACTGACCTTGGCCGCCCGACGAATGACACGATAGCAACAATGGTTGGATCACATGATTCCGCCCTATATGTCCTCAATTGTAATTGATTAGGACAAATAGGTGCGGATAGGTGTTGGTTTCATTTGCATCGTTGCGAAGAACAAATGTTGCTGAATCTGAGGATTACGAAGACCTGCCCTGCTGCAAATTTAGGGGAGCAGGTTTTGTCAATCATGGATTCAAATTATTCATATTGTCAATGAAGTCGGGCCTCCTTTGGCTCAGAATGAGAATCTTATCACTTGACTTTTTGTGCTCAGATAGAAACTTTTATCTTTGAATTTGATCTTAGTAAAATGCCTCGAGACAAGAAGAAGCAAGAAGACGGGATTTGTTATTCCGGTTTCAGCTGCTTCTTTCTTGCTGTTTGCTGTTGCTGTTGCTGTTGCTGTTGCCTCACCAGAATATGATCATATCAAAATATAAGCTTCTACGATGCAAGGAAAGGATCCAAGGGAAGGCCTTTTCTTGAATAATTTAAATGAGTACCGTTAGTTTTCCGCCGTGTGACCTTCATCTGACCGATCTAATGGTTGGCCGAGCGGCACAAGATTAGTTTGCAAACAGAATATCACAAGTTCGATTCCTCAATCTATTCTTTGGTCTTGGCAAAATCTTGATTACTCTATGCAAAAGACAGGTCAAAGCTTACATGTAATATTCTAACTCAGCGGGCAGTTGCTATGTCGTTGGAACCTTAAACTGAACATTTCGATAGTGGATAAGGTAGGTCTCAATTTCGTCCAAACTCCTTTTTTGTCCAAGCAAAGGGACTATCATCTATAGTAGCAGGTAATTTAGTACTACGGGTTTAGCCTACCATGGAGGTCACTTTGAAGAAACACGGGTAATATTACCTGAATCATAAGTTCTTTTACAAAAGTATTAATACCAACAAAAAAAAAATTAAGCTAGTACATTCATGCTACATTTATCCTAAACTAATTTACGTGTCATAGAAAATCTCAAACTGGTATTCGTATGCCACATTTACCCCAAACTAATTTTTCATGTCACAAAAAATCTCAAATTACCAAAATCTTAGATCGAGAAATTTTCTAAAATCTACTAATTTTCCGTAAATGCTCCCTCACGTTTCAAAAACCTGCCAAAATCCCTAATTTTGCCCGGGATAAATATGGCATGGATGTACTAGTTTGGAACCTTTTTCAAAGCGAAGAATAGTTTGAGGAAAAAGCGACGTGGGAGTACCCGTTTTCGAGATTTTTCGTGACATGAAAATTAGTTCGGAAAGATTGTAAAATGAGCGTATCAGTTTGCGATTTTTGGTTGCCCTAGTCTTTCAAAATGATGGGAAGACAAATACAGAGTCATTTTCATTCATTTTCAACAGTAGGAAAGAAAACTGAGAAAACACTTTGTTCAGAACCATACGCAAACAGTGGTTTTGCCTTCTCGTTTGAGTCAAATTGGACTCACACAAATTCGGACAAAAGTAGGCATCTCCATCCATGGATGACGGGGCAACCTTCTCTTTTGCTTTGTTGTTCCTTGATAAAATTTGACTTGTGGATGGGTTAATGATGATCTTTTTATACTATATTTTCACCAATAGTTGGTCGAGGCGGCGAAATTATTGGACATCTTAAATGGGGTTTATTATTATAATCTTTGTCCTCCAAAGATGTGGACACAATTCAAAGCGAAAAGAGAGGAGAGTAATTAACAAAAGAAAAGGAATTAAACAATTTTTGTTAATTTAATCATTCAAAATATGCACAATCTCGTAAAGATTACAGAATGTTGACATCACCATTCCTTTTTTTTTGTTATCCTTTTTTTAAAGAAAATCTGAGAGTTTAATTTTTAGAGTCATCAGCTCCGTTTGTTTCACAGAAAATGAATAGTTCAAAAAATATTTTCCTAAAAATAATCGCTTGTATCGCTTGAAATAATTAATTTACAAAAATTATTTCATTATCGAACACTTTCATAAACGATGAAAATATGTTCATTCATTTTTATAGATAATACAAGCGATCATTTTTAAAAAAATATTTTTTAAATCATTCATTTGTTCCTTTCACATATTTTCTCAGGTCTCGGACTCTAATGAACAAGAGCCCGAACAATCATGGTTATCTAGAAATATACTCATGGTGGAAATTAAAAAATTATAACTCCACATTCTTTTTTTTTGGCTTTTGGTGGTCTGTAGTGATGCAAAAAAGAAATGCAATAATAAAAACACCCCAAAAAAAAAAAAAACATCATCGTCATATCATGCCCACGCTAAAAAGCAAGGATTTGGATATTGTCTTAAGTCAAGACCTAAAATATGCTTTAGGGAGTGGTTGGACCACTTTGCAGTTGCACCCTCCCAATCATGCATCAATACAGTATATTCCATGTTGTGAGGGTAGCAAGTTCCATTATTTATTGGCTTTTCTTTTACGGATAATGACACAAATAATCCTCAAAATCTAACTTAAGATGTAATGGGATCCCTTTTAATTTGTTCGATGTGGTACATGAACTTTAACCCAATGTGCAATGTCGTTGTTAAACTTTTAATTTGTTTAATGTAGTTACTCGACTTTTGGTTCATATTTAAGTTAGTCTCTGGACTATATGAAAATGTTCAATATTAACCTTCCATTAAATCAAGTTCAGGGACAATATTAAACATTTTTATATAGTTCAGAAACTAGATTTAACATATATCAAAAGTTCAGAGACAACATCAAAGAAATTGAAAATTCAGGGATGACATTACACAGTAGGTTAAAGTTCAGGTACCACATTAAACAAAATAAAAACTTAAAGAACGAAGAAACAAAAGCTTGTTTTATTTTTACATTAAAAACTTAAATTATCGAAAAAAAATGGGCGATAATTTCACTCCTTAACACTCTCTCGCGTGTAAATCGATCCCTCACGCGTGCACGACTTGATTATGTATCGTGAAATGGGCACGGGTTTAATTTTGTATGAGTGACTTGTGTATCCAATAAATAGAAATTATTTGATAAGAAAGTGAAAGTAAAAGGATATTAAATTTTAAAATTTGAATGTTCGGTAGACTAAATAGGATTAATACCTCGAAAAACCCCAAACTGGTACACATGTTACAAATTTACCCCAAACTAATTTACTCACCACCAAAAACCCTAAACCGGTACACCTGTGATAAATTTACACTCCGTTAGTTTCCATTAAATTTTACCATCAAATTTCTAAGTTGGATGACACGTAACAGTTAATGGGTGTACCAGTTTAGGGTTTTACCCCTCAGTATGTACGGGTTTACCAAATTTTTTTATTTTTCATGGTATTAATCAAATTTTACAAAGGGTAAATTTGTCACAAGAGTATCAGTTTAGGGTCTTTGATTATCAAAAAATTAGTTTTGGATAAATTTGTCACAAAGGTATCAGTTTGGGGTTTTTGGTTGTCAAAAAATTAGTTCAAGGTAAATCTGTCATAGATATACCGGTTTGAGATTTTTCATGATATTAACCCGACTAAATAAAACCAAAAGAAAGGACAAAAACCCGGCCATCACATATATAAGTTTATCATAGATTGCATCCTACCTTTTGGTTTTGTGCAAGTTGTGGTTGTTCGAATCCATTTGATAATTGGTGGCGGCTGGGTTCCATGTTCCTCGGGCGCCCTTCATTTTGTCTTTTTTCAAGGTCAGATAACAACAATATTAGGTTCAAATAAATAATTTTTCTTACAAAAAAATAATTAATTAATTTTAAACAATAATTCTTGTCTTTTATCTTCAAAAGATTGGCGCATTTTTTGCATTGAATCACCCATTTTGACTACATATATAATTGCAAACATATGGGTTGAGATCCTATTCATTTAAAGGATAAATTAGATATGTCGATTTATTTATTTATTTACCTCGTTGAATGTCGATAATCGAAGATTGGAGGAAGCGGAGAGAGGTGGAGACAAAGAAGAGCGACAAATGTAGAATCTGATTTTGATACGATATCGGAATGTCCAACTTAAAAGGTTTAATTTATTAGGTGGATATAGACTATATATATATATATATATGGAGATCCATGAAAACCCTATGATTCAAAAACCAAAGGAAATGCTTTCCTATGAAAATTTTGAGTGACACTTTCAAGATCAACGTTTATGTTTGTTTAAAAATCTAAACGTTTTCAATCCGAAATATCAATATGATTTAAACTCCAAATGTTGAAGAAAAATCTAAAGAACAAAGAAACGAAATAATTTCGAACGCCTCGAGCAAATTGTGTTAGCATCTAATCATGCATAGATCATTAAGCTCATGGGATCGTGAAATTGTGTGAGCGCATATAATCACAGATCCTTATTAATATTAGATTCATTGTCGACATAAGTGTATTTTTACTAACATGTGTACTCGACAATAATTATATAATCGAACTTTTTCATGTGCCAATCATCTGACGGTGAATGCACATATATTCCTACACATCAGCAATAGACCGGATACAATCGTTTCAAAGATCTCAACACTAGGCTAAACTTCGATATCACCATAGGTTTAGTACTTAATTAAGCGGATTATTTATTCTAAGCATCGCAGCACGACCTTTTCTTTCCTCATTTCCACATAATAACTAAGTACAATGGTACCTAAGTTTTCTTCTATGTTTCAAATCCGTCGCCATTCCAATTATTAGGTTTTTCCCACTTTGCCCTCATCTTGGATTATATATACAGATGGACTGCTTTCGTCATTGCCGTCTTATATGGTGTAATCGCTTATGTCATTTTGCACCGTTGCGTCCGATGTTGGTAATTAAACTCCTTGTAACTTTATTATGTTATATATAGCGTGGTTGGCTGCGGTTCCCTCCGTATGTAACTTTTGCAGTTTCCAAATTATCTTCCATATGTGAACTCCTTGTCAATGTCTTTGGAAAAGTAGATGGAATGATGCATTGCTAAAGTGAAAACTCTCTCAACAACTAGGTTCAAGTGAAGGCCCTCATAGGACATGTAGGCTTACCATAAAGGAGCAAAGAACTCAGGTATGTGTTTAATGAGGATTTTTTTACTTCACTATTTGCACCAATCAGATAATCATTTGTCATGCTAACGGATTATAGTTGTAGGTGACTTTGTGGTCAATCGCCAAGTCTCCCCTCATGTTTGGTGGAGATTTGAGGAACATTGATGATACAACTTTCAGTCTTATCATGAATCCTACTCTGCTTGAGATAAATTCCTACAGCTCAAACAATGT